TATCCCATAGGGGGTACAACCCAATTAGGGTTAGTACTTGTACCCACTTCATTCATAGTTCATTCACTCTTGTTTCTTCTCATGTCGGAAGCGGCCGAGCGATTGGATTCCATCGAAGGCGCGGAACCAAGAGGGCAACGTGCACACGGCATCCGGCGAGGCGGATGATTCAACGGAGTCGCTCGTTTTGTTGGCCGGTGACGGGATCAACACTTCAAACGACGCGTGGTTCCTCGACACTGGTGCAACACAACACATGACGCACTCGGCGTCGCTCCTCAACAACGTCGGTGCTCCGGGAGACGTCAAGCGCGTCGTCTTCGGGAACGATAAATCGCTACCGGTGGTTGGAGTTGGGAGTACGCGTCTCATCGTCGATGGCGGGCCGGTGGACATCACGAACGTGCTTCACGTCCCGGGATTGAAGGTGAATCTACTCTCCGTCACTCAACTCGCAAAGAAAGACGTGAAGGTCACCATCGATGGCGCGAAGATGAACCTCTTTTGGAAGGGGAAGCAATTCGCGCAAGGCGTTCTCAACGGACAACTCTACCAACTCAAGACGCATCCGACAACGGCCTCATCCAACGTGGCGCAAGGCTCCAAGGCGACTCTCAAAATGTGGCATAATCGGCTTGCGCACGCCAACTATGACTCGGTCAAAGAGTTGGCCAACAAAGGACTTGCGAAGGGATTTGACGTGATCGCCGGCAACGACGAGAAGGGCGTGTGCGCGGCGTGTGTCGAAGGAAAAATGGCTCGCAAGCCATTTGGTAGCCGTACCTCACCCCTCGCAAAGGACCCGCTTACGCTTGTTCACATGGACGTGTGTGGACCGATGCGGCATGCATCAAAGGGAGGAGCGCGGTTCCTCTTAGTGATGCTCGACGACGCGACGCGGATGAGTTGGACCCGACTCTTGAAGGCTAAGGGAGATGCGGCCAAGGCGATTCAAGAGTGGGCGCTCGACGTTTGCGATGACGGCAAGAAGCGGATCAAGTGCATTCGCACCGACGGTGGCGGCGAATTCGTGAGCAACGAGCTTGAAAAATGGATGAAAAGCAAGGGCATTAAGCACGACGTCACGACACCCTACACACCCCAACAAAATGGAGCGGTAGAGCGGCTCAATCGCACATTGATGGAGGCCGTTCGTTCACTTCTTCAACACTCCAAGCTTGGGAACGAGTGGTGGGGAGAGGCGAGTGCGCTAGCGGCATGGATTCGTAATCGTGTGCCAACAAAGGTGCTACCGGGAACGACTCCGTTCGAAGCATGGACCGGAACGAAGCCGAACCTATACCGCCTACGCACCTTTGGGTGCCTTTGCTACTACCATGTACCGGATCCACTTCGCCACAAGTTGCAACCGAAAGCTCGTGCGGCGATCTACTTGGGGATTGCGGCGAACGAGCGTGCATGGCGAGTGTGGGATTTGGATGAAAAACGCGTCGTCACGTCTCGGGATGTGATCTTCGACGAAGACAAGTTCCCGACAAAGGAGAAACAAACGCCGCAACTCACCGTCGTCCTTCCCGCACGAGAGGAGGATGAAGCGGTGGAGGTTTCACCGCACGTGAAGAAGGGAGCCGAAAGTGGAGGGGGAGAGAACGAGGAGTGCGATGATGATGTCGAGGAGGTGCCACCAACCGAGGAGGCCACTTCCTCCACACCTTCTTCCCTACCATTGGCGTTGACTCGCGGGCGTCGTACACCTCGCCCCAACACGAGGTTAACCGACTATGCTACGGTCGCCGTTGGGGAGTCGGATGAGGAGAGTGCGGCGATTTGCCTAGCGACCATCGGCGACGATAACCCACGCACTCACAAGGAGGCTTTGGCTTCCCCGGATGCACCGCTATGGAAGCAAGCGATGGAGAGGGAGTTAGCATCGATCAAGGAGAACGATGTTTTCGAGCTCGTTGACCCGCCGAAGGGTGCCTACTTGGTGGGATGCAAGTGGGTGCTTAGGAAGAAATTGGGAGCCGATGGAGGTGTCGAACGCTACAAGGCGCGGCTTGTGGCGCAAGGGTACACTCAACGGGAGGGGGAGCACTATAGTGAGACCTTCGCTCCCGTTTCGAAGGCCTCCACTCTTCGGGTGTTGCTCGCGCTAGCGGCATCTCTCAACCTCGAGGTGGAACAATTGGACGTTTGCACCGCCTTCCTCTACGGGCTTCTCATGGAAGAAGTCTACATGCGGCAACCCCCGGGGTACGATGACGGTAGCGGTCGGGTGTGGAAGCTCAAGCGTACCCTCTATGGCTTGAAGCAAAGCCCACGCGGATGGTACAAGCGCATCGACGACTTTCCTCTTCAACACGGCTTCGCGCGTAGCGTGTGTGATAGCGCTTTGTACGTGTTGAAGGAGGGGGAGAAGCAATTGGTGCTTTCGCTCTACGTCGATGACCTCCTTCTTTTCTCCGACTCCAAAGACCTCATTCGAGAGGTCAAGCAACGGCTAGGGGCGGAGTTTGCCATGAGGGACTTGGGACCGGTGACGTACTACCTCGGGATGCACGTCGACCGCGACCGCGCGAACGGGACCATTCACCTCCACCAAGAAAAATATGTGAAAGGGGTTGTGGAGCGCTTCGGCATGGGTAATAGCAACCCGGTGGGGACGCCACTAGACACGGGATTTTCTTGCCTCCCGGGAGAGGAAGAATCCGCCCTCGACGAAGCCGAAGGGAAGCGATTTCATTCGCTAGTCGGCTCACTCATGTATGCCGCCGTTTCCACCCGTCCCGACCTCTCATACGCCGCCGGGGTACTTGGACGAGCCGTAAGCAACCCTCATACCGAGCATGTGCGTGCGGGAGGACGTGTTCTACGCTACCTCCAAGGCACACCCAACTTGGGAATCGTATATGAAGCCGGTCCAATCGTGCTTAAGGGCTACACCGACTCGGATTATGCCGGTGATCAAAGCAAGCGCAAGAGTACCGGCGGGTACGTCTTCACCTTGCTTGGGGGAGCCGTGAGTTGGCAAAGCAAGTTGCAACCAACCGTGGCTCTAAGCACAACGGAAGCGGAGTATATGGCACTCACTCATGGAGCCATGGAGGCAATATGGCTACGGCGCCTTCTAGCGGAGCTTGGGCATCCTCAAGCCGACCCAACTCCTCTCTTTTGTGACAACCAAGCGGCCATAAACCTCACGCACAATGCCGTCCTTCACGGGCGTACCAAGCACATTGAGGTGAAGCATCACTTCATTCGTGAGGTGGTCGAGAGAGGTGAGGTCAAGGTCACATACATAAGCACCAAGGCGCAACCCGCGGATTTCCTCACTAAACCACTCCCTAAGGATTCATTCCGTGCATGCCGTGAGCGTGTTGGTATGAACACCTAGTGGCTTGGATGCAAGGGGGAGTGTTGGAAGGAAACGGTGGTGGGGCGGTGGTATGCCCCCAACCCACCGAGGGCACTTCGGTGCCTTCGATCCCTTTGACTAGGGATCGGTGGGGTGGCACCGATTGACTTCGGGAGACTCACCCTTCGGTGCCACGTGGCGGCACCACATTCCAACCTTCAAGTGCAAGGCGAATTCGGTGTGTTCGGTGTGAAATTCGGTGGTCGAATTTCACCCCAACCGAAATGTTACACGCGGCGCATTCGCGACGCGAGTGTAGCGATGTGATGTTACATGTGCGGTTCGATGTAATGCATTTGCTATAAATCGACCTGCCTTGTATGCATGCTTTATACTGAAATCCTGAATCTTCTTGTACATGGTCCATTCGAACCAAAATTCCAGAGAGGTCTATCCTTGCTTCTAAGAGCACTAGCAATCACGTGAACGCCAATATCTCGGCGTATACTTGGGCGATTAACGTGTTTGACGGCTTGTTGGAAAGCCAAGACTGTGCTCTATCGTTTAGTGCAACTTAGAGTTCCTGCAAAGTAGAGGAGACGCCTCTACAACAGCCCTAGTGTACCTAGAGTTCGCTACACTTCATCCAACCCGAGAAATACCATGCCATCTCCAATCTAACAGCATTTTCAGCAGCAGCCTCGTGCGCCACCTCGACATGCACTCCACGATCAACAAATAGCGCGGATTTTGGAGAGCTTGAAACAAAAGAGCGTAGCACATGCTCCACCGCGTCGCCTCGCGGGCTTTCAGCGGAGTGGGGCGCGGAAGGTGGGCCGAGCCCTGATGAAAATAACAACGGCTGCGCGCCAGGTTCGTCGGGTCGTGCCACGCCACGTCTATCTCGTCCACTCCAGTCTGTTCGCGCCAGGTTCGTAGGCTATAACAGGCATTTGACGTGGCGCGGAAGCGATCGTTCAAGCGCGAGACGCGTGATCGAGCAGTGGCGTCGCGGCAGCGTAGCGCAGATCAACATATGACACGACAACAAACTTCTAGGATTTCCAGCTGGTCACTGAAGCCTGAAGGCATCCAACTGGATTTGCGCTGCGCCCCAGCGGCTGCGCACTGCGCAGGGCAGGCGACGCGACACGTCTCCTGTGCATGTGCGGAGTTACTTGCTTGCAGCAGAACGCTGCTGAGAACAGGCGAGCCAGTGTGCTGCGCTGCATGCCGACTGTCCAGTTGTGCACCTCGATTCGCTACTTGACTGGCGGGATGGCCAGTGGCCACCAAGCTTGTGGTGAGTGAGGTGATGCTCCGAAATGAGTTTTCCAAGGTGCTGGTCATGGGCGAGATCAAGGCGTGATGACCAGCAAGTTCATCGAGGCGCAAATGACTACTGCGCGATTCCTTACCAGACATCCCCCTCTTTCGTACTTATCCATCATCACAGACTTGTACGTGTATCAAGGATGTCTTACGTGGATCCGGATTTTAATGGTACGGTATATGAAACCACCAGATTGAAACTTCAATCAATCCTCAGACACAGCACACACACACCACACACTTTGTTACATAATGTTACATTCATAAGATGAAAATTCCTATCTCTGGTAGTACCCAGCCATCACACGAAGCATCATTGATTAGGTGTGTCAGCAGCACAGCACCCCTCGCTTCACAAGTTCACCTCCCTCAACCCACCACTCATCCCTAGCTCCCCCCCACCACCAGCAACATCTGCTGCTTCCACCGTAATCTCCCGCCTCAACAAAAACCGGCTCTCCCTCCCCTGCTGCTCGTCCTCCCCACCCCCTCCTACCTTCCCTCCAAACTCCCCCACCTGCTCTCGCCCCTTCTCAACACCACCCCTCACCTCACCACTCCCTCCGCCACTCTCACCGCCAACCCCACCGGCTGGCTGCTGCAGCAGCAGCAGGAGCAGCAGGGGGAGCAGCACAGCGAGGCCTGACACCCCGACAAGGACTTTCTTGAGGAGGGAGGACTCTTGTGCGAGGAGCTGCGCCTCCTGTGCCAGCTGCTGGTCGTCTGCCTGGATCCGCGTGAGCGTGGCTCGTAGCGTGCCTACGTCCCTTGCCAGTTCTGCTTGCTTCTGCAGAAAAGAACCGGGAGAGAGCAAGGGAGAGAAAGAGGGTGCAAGAGAGCACCCAAGAGGAGGTGAAGGAGCACGGGAGAGAAGTTTTTTGAGGCGCGTCAAAAAGGAGCTGAAGGAGCACGGGGAGAGAAGGGCCACAGTGGGATAGACCAGAAAGGCAAGGGTCAGAAATGGGAGGGATATGAGGGGAAGGCAAGAAGAGCTGGCAAGGGGATGAGGGAAGTAAAAGAGGCTCTGGCGTAACCAGCAACCATTTGTGCGGATATCAGTGTTTGGAGTCCAGAAAAAGTAGTAGTAATAATTTATCTGCACACTTTCGTACCCCACGTGGTTCATACCCCATGTGATTCACACCCCATTTGGTTCACAACCACATCACCCAGTGCAAGCAACATTACCTTCTCTCCCTCCCCCACGGCTTTCTTCGCTCGGTCCACCTCATCTGCCAGCCTGGCAGCCAGCTGTTGCCCCTCCGCCACCTGCGCCTCCAGCTGTGCTGCCACCTGTCGCCCCTGCGCCACCTGCGTCAGCAGGTCCCCCGCCCTGCCTGCCATGCCCTCCAGCTCCTGCTCCGCTCGCTCTGCATCGGCGCTGCAAGTGGATGGAGGGGAGGGAAATTGTGGGTCATCGAGAGCCATGCCCCCCCAGCCTCCGCCCTGCCTGCCATGCCGTCAAACTCCTGCTCCGCTCGCTCTGCATCGGCGCTGCAGGGAGGTGGGTGGGGTGGGAAGGGAGAGTGTGGGTCATCGAGAGCCATGCTTGCCGTCCCCCGCCCTGCCTGCCATGCCCTCCAGCTCCTGCTCCGCTCACTCTGCATCTGCACTGCAGTGGGGCGGATGGAGGGGGAGGTAGTGGAAATGTGTGGGTCGCGGAATGGGGATCAGGTACGCACATGTAAGTTATCATAGGCTCCACAATCCCCCATATCTCAATGTGCTAATAAATTCCTTCGACCAGTCGAGCCTATCCCAACCCCACCCCACCTCACCCCACCCCTCTCACCGCAAAGCGCCCACAACAGCCTCGGCCTCCAAGGCAGCCCTTAGCTGCCTGCCACCATCCTCCAGCTCCGCTTCCAGCTCCCTCTCTCTCCCATCCCAGGCCGGCAGCAGTGCAGGGAATGGGACGTGCAAGGGCGAGCACAGACTCTCACTCCCTCAGGGCTCATAGCACAGGCTCCACTCCTTCCTGACTTTCATTGTGCTTCCAGATTCTCTCAACCAATCGCGCCCAGCCCATCCCATCCCCACCTTAACCCACCCCACCTCACCCCACCCCTCTCACCGTAGAGCGCCCACAACTGCCTCGGCCTCAAGAGCAGCACGCAGCTGCCTGCCACCATCCTCCAGTGCCGCTTCCAGCTCCCTCTCCCTCGCCTCCGCCGCCGCCACCTCAGCTTTCAGCTCCGCCACCTCATTCCTTAGCGTGCTGACTAGGCGCGTCATATTCTCCGCCATCTCACCCGCCGCCTTCCTCGCAGCTTCCTCCCTCTGCTCGGCATCCTTAAGCTGCCCGGTCAGCAGCCCGACCCGCTCTCTCACAGCCGCAACCTCCTGCTTCTCCGCATCCACCTTAGACTTGAGAATCTCGCTCTGTCTCGTGACAAACGCGAGCCGTTCTTTCGCGGCCTGTGCCGCCTCTGCTGCCCGCGCCTCCCTCTCCCGCCCCTGCTGGATCGTCTCCTCGAGCTCTTTCACGCGTGCCACGGCTGCTTGCGCCTCCCCGCTCCCTGCGTCCTTCTCGCTGCTCAGCTGTGATACCAGAAACTCCAGCTCCGCGATCTGGGTTGTGGTTGGGGGGGGGTGGTGGCGGGGGGAAATGGGGAGCAGGGTGGAAGATGAAGCATGAATGGGGCATGGCGCATAGTGCATGGGGTAGAATCTACTCTGTACGTCCTTCTCGCTGCTCAGCTGTGATACGAGAAACTCCAGCTCCGCGATCTGGGTCGTGGTTGGGGGGGGGTGATGGTGTCAGGGGGGCGGGGGGTGCAGGAGAAAGGATGAATGGGGCATGGTGGATAGTCGTGGCTTTTTTAGGCGCCTCAAAAGAAACTCCAGCTCCGCAATCTGGGTTGTGAATTGGGGGGGGTGGTGGCAGGGGGAGGGGGGGGTACAGGGTGCAGGGTGCAGGGTGCAGGGTGCAGGGTGCAGGGTGCAGGGTGCAGGGTGCAGGGTGAAGGATGGAGGATGAATGGGGCATGGTGGATAGCAGTCATACGTGAAACAGCAGATTCAAGAACTGGGAGCAGGGGGGGTAGATGACGGGTGACGGCAGTGGGTGGAGGACGGGAGGAGGGTGGAGGTTGAATGGGGCATAGTGCATGCGACATGGGCATGGGCATGGGCATGGGCATGGGCATGGGCATGGTGCACCCACCACCCCATCACATGCCCACCATCCCATCACCTCCTCACACTCTCCCCACTCCTGCAGCACCTGTGCTTCCAGAGCATCAGAGCGCTCCTGACCAGTTTTTACCATCAACTGCAATGCAACCCACTCTGTGACAGCACATCACCCATCACCCCACCCACCACCCCACCCACCACCCCATCACCCATCACCCCATCATCCCACAAACTCCCCCTCCCAGCAGCACCCTGTTCTTCCAGTGCATCAAACCGCTCCCCTGCACGTTTTAGACGCCTCAACAAAACCCGTACCTGCGCTTCCAGAGCATCAGAGCGCTCTTCTGTGACCGTTGCTGCTCTGCGTGCTGCTCCTGCCGCATCCATGGCCGCTTCTGCCAACGTCTGTCGGTAAAAATCGGGAGGGAGAGGGGAGACGGGTAGGCAAAGAAGGGTCGGGAGAGGGTGCAAAGTGGGGGCGGAGAGGGGTCGAAGGGGGGTTGAAAACGGGGCGAAGGGTGGGTGGACGATTTAATCATCTAACACTCTGACGTTTACCCCAACAACTTGTGCCAATCGTGCCAATTGTTGGGTACTATGCTCCAACAAAATTGTGCCAGCGCACCACAGAAACCATGCCACAGCACAACACATTCTTTGAAAGCATGAGGCAGCAATGAGGGGAGACTGCGTCAGCACTGGCGGCGGCAAGCGTGAGACGGGAAAGACGGGGCGGAAGGGAGATAAGATAGCCAACCGACCGACCTTGTGGTGGTCAATTTGAACGCGGGCCGCTGCAGCAGCCTTGTGGAAAACAACCTGTCACGCCAGGGAGACACAGGACGAGAGGACAGACAGAGTGACATTTGAGTCGACTCAAAAGTTACCTTGGAAGACAGCCTGACAAAGAAGGACAGCCAGGGAGACACAGGAGGAGAGGACAGACAGAGTAGTTTTGGAAAGAAACACCACGAACGAAACTCCCGCATCTCTTTATCACTGACCATTACATAATACCTCGATCATGAAAGCAGTGCTCTACGATGGGACACGCCAGCAGGAGAAAAGGCGCCCGAACCGAAACACGGTCCACTGACTATCAACTATCAACTATCACACATTGGAGACAGCAAGCGGGAAGCCAACAGCCAGAGGGATGGAGGCTGCTGGCTTCCCCCTCGGAAGGCACTTGAGGTTTGAGTCGACTCAATTATCGAGGCAAGGCGGCTCAATTGAATGAATGGCCGCTTTCCACTGAGTGCCATGCCATACCTCGGAGACAGCGAGGGGGATGTCTGCACTGCCCTCTGCGCTCGCCGCTACCAGCTGCTGCACGTACTGCAGCTGGGCTTGCTGTAGGGCGGGAGGGTGGAGTGGAGTGGAGTGGGGTGGGGTGGGGTGGGGTGGGATGGAGGGACATCCCAAAAGAAGGGAAATGAAGTGATTAACTTAGGCACATTGAGAACTGATACCAGCTGCTGCACGTACTGCTGCTGGGCTTGCTGTAGGGCGGGAGGGTGGAGTGGAGTGGAGTGGAGTGGGGTGGGGTGGGGTGGGGTGGGATGGAGGGACATCCCAAAAGAAGGGAAGTGAAGTGATTAACTTAGGCACATTGAGAACTGATACCAGCTGCTGCACGTACTGCAGCTGGGCTTGCTGTAGGGCGGGACGCAGGGACGAAGGGCGAGAGGGCGGGAGGGAGGGAGGGAGGGAGGGAGGGAGGGAGGGAGGGAGGGAGGGAGGGAGGGAGGGAGGGAGGGTATGGCAAGGATGGCAAGGATTGGAGAGGATTGGAGCGCTTTTCTTAGGCGCATTGAGAACTGCCAGCAGCTGCTGTGGGGTACTGCAGGCAGCTGAGCTTGCTCCATGCGGTCAGGTCAGGAGACAGGGGGGTCTGGCAGGAATGGAGATGACTTTTGAGTCGACTCAAAAGTCTGCTGTGGGTGCTGCAGGCAGGTGGGCTTGCTCCATGCGGTCAGGTCAGGAGACAGGGGGGTCTGGCAGCGAATGGAGATGAGAAGGGAAGGGAAGGCAAACCAACAACCACACAACCACGCGTAAACACAAGAACCTAATATGCCAACCTCCCCTCTAAACCCAACCACCCAGCAAGCCCACCCCGTCCCACCCCACCCCACCCCACTCCTCTCCACTCCTGCGTACCGCCCAGTCATCTGCAGGCCCTCCAGCAGCGCCGGTGTCTCTGCGGCGTTCATACACTGCCTGAGCCATGGCGCTCACACGCGGCGTGTCCAGAGCAGAAAGCAGGTCCACACACTGTGCGTTGGGGGGTGGGGTGTGGGGAAGGGGATTCCTGAGGCGCCTCAAAAGCCGGTGTCTCTGCGGCGTTCATACACTGCCTGAGCCATGGCGCTCACCCGAGGTGTATCCACAGCTGACAGCAGGTCCAGGCACTGTGAGGGGAGGGTGGGTGGGTGGGGGTTAGGAGGGCAGATGGAGAGCAGGTGTGTCAGTCAGCGTGTGCATGCGTAGTTTGATTTGAGTCGCCCCGTGCCATGGCGCTCACCCGAGGTGCGTCCCGTAGCGACAGCAGGTCCACGCACTGTGGGTGGGGGGCAAGAGGGGGGGAACGGGAGGGGGAGATGTGAGAGCAGGAGACTGAGTCGGCCTGAGCTCGGCCTAGCTCGGCCTGAGCCATGGCGCTCCACCTGCACTGTGGGTGGTGTGCGGGGAGTCGATTTTTGAGTCGACTAAAAAGTCGACTTATCACACTGAGCCATGGCGCTCCACCTGCACTGTGGTTGGTGGGTGGGGTGTGGGTGGACTGAAGGGATGGTGCGTCAGCGTCTGCATGTGCATGTGTATGCGTTGCTGTCTACAGGTGCTCGCACGAACATGACCCTAAACCCTGAAGCAAGGCTCGCACGCACCTGCTGCCATGGTTGCAAGGGCACAGGGGCATCAGGCACTGCTGTTTCCACCGCTGCACGCGCCTGTGCCAGCGACTGCCGCCCTGCGAACGTGAGAAAGCTGACGGGGACGCAGTGTTACAGACGGGAAGGAGTGATGCAACAAGGGAGAGAGTGTCACTCATGGGTGGGAAGGGGGGTGTTACAGGGGGGCACGCAAATCAAGGAGAAGAGAAAGGTAGAACAAGAAAGAAGGAAGTGGGAAGCGGGGCAGAAATAACAAGGGCAGGGGGTGAGTGTGAAACGAACACACCTGAGAGCGACAAAGGCCGAGAGAGCAGGAGAGGAGGAGCAGAGCACAACACGCAGACCCATGGCTGATAGAGTGCCCACTGCTCTCACTGCCTCGTACACACGCCACCCCACTTGCTGCCCCTGACCCCCCTGCTGCTGCCCCCCCTGCTGTCCCCCTGGCTGTCCCCCTTGCCCTTGCCCCTGCTGCGGGTTCTCTATAGCAGGGAGGGATATGTGCAGCGCTACAGCGCCCTCTCGTGCCGCGGCTTCTACAAACGATGGCCGGTCCAGGGAGGAAGGCTCGCCATCCGCCTGAAGGGGGCGTGGGAGGGAGAGGGGAATGGTGGAGGAAATGGGTGCGCCAGTGCAGGGGAAAAGAGGCAGAGAGTGCAGCAGAGAGTGCAGGGGTGAGAGTGCAGAGGAGAGAGCATTGAATGCACATGCACACCCACACGCCGTATACTCCTGAGATGCCTTCAAAGGGAGATCAGATCACATGAAACGGACCTGCAGCAGCACGACAGCGTCGTAGCCCCACGTGCGCACATACGTCTTTATATCTGCGTCCGTGGACGGCAGTTCGCCCAGGTAGTTTCTGAGAATTCTCAAGAACCACCTGCAATGCATGAGACGCACCTGCAGCAGCACGAGGGCGTCATAGCTCCACTTGCGCACGTACGCCTTTATATCCGCGTCCGTTGCCGGAAGATCGCCCAGGCCTAGGCTCTCCGTCACGCTCACTTGCCGCACTGCTGCATCCCCCTCCGCTTCCTCCGCTTCCTCGGTCTCTGCCTCCTTCTCATCCTCCTCGCCATCCTCCCTCCCTGCAATCTCCTCCTCCTTTCCCTCTGCTCCCTTTTCCCCAACTACAACGTCTCTTCCAACCTGCCGCTGCTGCTCCTTCCCCGTCTCCTCGTCCTCTCTGCCTTGCTCTTTCTCACTCCCCGACTCCTCATGCTCCTCCGCTCTCCTCTTCCCCTCTCTCTCATCCCACTCGAGTTTCGGAGTTCCTTCTACCTCCGCCGAAGTACCTTCTGAGACCCCTTCATTCGACGCCTCATGAGTGACTGATGCTGCTGCTTCTTCCCCGTCTGACATCCTCCCGTCATCTGCCTTATTCATTCCTTCAGGTGCCAATGGCAGCGATAGTTCCGTTTCCGTGGCTGCCACGTCATCCACGGCGCCAGGTTGCCGCGCGGGCAGACTGCCACGTCGGACTGGCTCAGTCGGGACGGGTCCAGCTGGACGGGCTTGGAGCGGTTTCTGGTCGGGTCTCAGGGAACGGAACCTGGTACGGTAGGTCGAGCCGTACGCGTGACCGTACGTGAATCCGTTAGCTGTTGAAACGCGTCTGGTAGGGTGCAACGCCGAAGAAGGTATGTTCACCGCGCGGCACGCCATTGTTCTAACGTTTTTTTATTATTGTTAGATTAAGATTTAACAATAAATTTGCTTGTACGCGCGGTTTTTGGGAATCTGCCTGGCACAACAAATAGGCTTAAATTATAAGGAAAATGCTGATTCAGGAGGAAAAAAGAGGATTATAATCGAGGTTCGAGGTGCGGCTCACTGGGCGAAAGCAGTCTAATTAACGTGACGACAAGCGCGGAACTAGCGCAAACGACCATGGCCGCCTGCTTTTTTTCTTCTTCTTCTTCCCTCTGTCTCTCGTCTCTTTTTCAACCTCGTCGTCAGGTTTCCTGCACCACGATCGAGCTGATGTGCCTGCGGGAATTAAATCAGCACCTCCGGATAAAGCGGAATGAGTGTATTTTAACCAACGTCGCCCCGTGCTGTTGCAATTAAGGCACGGCACAACGCTGATTCACGCTCACGTTAGTCGGTCAACTTAATAAGGATGGCTATGGCGCGCTCCTTGCAAGAACTAGAAAGGCTGCTAGCTAATTATCATGGCGCCACAAGATGGCCATAAATCAGGAGCTCGGAGGAAATCGCCACTAGAATGACACAGCATGGAGCAACAAATCCATCCATCTGACTGAACTGAACCAATGGAGCGTGTCGGCTGAAACCAAGGAGACTGTAACGAGTTGAGACTGCAACGGCCTATCAAAACAGCCTATCCCTATCGAGGGATGACGATGTGCAGGACGTGTTCTTGGGCTGTGTCAGCTTGAAGGACTCGTCGTGTCAGAATGCTCTGGGAGAAAATGAGGCGACACGAAGCAACAAAGTCTGCCCCTCGTGTCAACGCTCGTACAGTTCATGTATTTTTCACGGAATGGTTCTTTATCAGTGGAGGGAGAGCTACAGTCCTGTTTCTTGTGCAAAAAAAACCTTGCAGCCCCAAATTGCTTGACTGTCATGCCCGGGGCAGCCTACAGCCCCAAATTGCTTGACCTTGCATGTATCCTACAGCACCTCCCACTGTTCCACATCCAAAATGAGGGAAGGAGGGTCCATCTAACGGCTTTCCTATCCGGAGGCAGGAATGTAGGCCAGCATCAGAAAAATACCAAGTCGCTTGAAGTGTCGGATTCGAAAATAAGCCTCTGTGCGAGACATCCACGAGGAACGCGCCCTGAACAAGAAGACATCAAAGTTTGATCAACTCAGGATCCAACCAAAATATAGGCTGGTCTCATCACATCATCAGACCCAGCCTATTGAAAACAGCAAATCCAATGTGGAACTAGAAAATATTATAGTAGCCGGCCTATTTCCCGTCTCTGGCACGTCCAGTATCAGTCATTTTCCGCGCGCGTCGTTGGGATCTCCTCTCCGCTTGTGTGCATCGTACTGAGAGGCCCTCGACCACCATGTTCGCGACGCGATCGCTGTCAAGATCGTTGACTCTGCCGACGCATCTCGCCAAGGACAGATCAACTATCGGTAACACGTCATCGGAGCTTTGGCGATCCCCGGAGGGAGTTCCGGGCCTTTTATTGGGCCGTCAGCAGCCCAGCGCGAAATCACATAATGGTCGTTCCGGTCGCAAACTTTCGCATGTCTCGCCAGTCGCGTCGTCGTTTGTCGCCGACCTCCTCAGCAACGAGGTGCGAGCGGCGTCATCTGCCGTCCACTACGCGTCGCTCCTCCGAGCCGCCTTACTGCATCTTAGATTTCAAACGCTGCCTTGTGAATCTTGCGAAATGGATCACATCAAGAGGCTGTGCCCATTGGAGAACAGCGACTGTTGAGAATATGGTTATGCGATAACCTTTGAGACGTCTAAAGAATGGTTGAGCGTCAGGCTCCGAAACTCCGTGATCTTCCTTATCCCTGCAATCTCTGCACTCTACCCACCCTCTTCGCGATTCCTCCGTTTTTGTCTCTCGCCTTTCCCCCGTCTGTTATCGATACATCTCAGAGTCTTGACTCCCCATTTCCCGACTGCCGGTCTCCCCGCCTCTCCCCACCTTCCTTCATCCCGCACGCTCTTCGCACTCTCTCAACCTCCGCCTCTCTCCCTCCCCCTCCTCTCCATTTCCCCCATTCCCCTATCCGCTTCCCGCTTTTCCCCTTCCCCCTTTCCCTCACCCTCCAGTCCCTAGTAGCAGCGAGCACGGCGTACGTGGCGGCGCAACGTCCATAGCCCGTCACAGCAGCATTTCGAAGCCTGACTCTCAACTCCCATCAACCCCTACCGTCATCCCTTCCCTCCCTCTTCCCCTTTCTCTCCGCTTCCACCCTATCTCCCGTTTCCCCTCTCTCTCTCCCCCAGCCACTGATGGCAGCAAGCACGGCGTGCGTGGTGGCGCAGTGCCTGAAGCCTGTTATAGCGGCCGCAGCAGGGGACGGCTTCAACTGGCGCCTTGTCTTCAAGTCGGGCGGCATGCCCTCCTCACACTCCGCTGTGCGTGCCCTCCCCCTCGCTCCCCTCCCTCGATTGCTTCCCCGCTCCGCTGCTCCCTTGCTTCCCTGCTCCCCTGCTCTCCTCTTTCCCTGCTTTCTTGCTCCCCTTGCTTCTTCGTCCTCTCTCAGCCAATGACCAGTCCTCCTTCCTTGATCTCTTTCCCTCATCCCAAACCACTGCAATCCACTCCTTCCCTGTCCACGCCCTGCGATCGCCCCACCTCCCTCTTACGTCCACAATACCGCCTTTCCCTGCCCTTCAACCGCCCTGCCCCCTTCTCCCCATGCATTCTGACTCTGCTTGTGCCTGCTTGTTCCATTCACTGGGCCATGGCAGGTTGTGACAGCTCTGGCCACGTCAATCTACTTTGAGCGGTGAGTGAGCCCTCTCACTAGTCCCTCTTCTCTTCCCTCCGCCCGCCCTCTGCCACACCCGCCTTCCGCCACACCCGCCCGCCCTCTGCCACTCCCCCACACGCCTTCCTCTGCTCCAGTAGCACTTCATTTCCATAAGAGCGATTCTCTGCTTCTTGCACCCTCCCCGTTGCATTCGTGATATCCCACTTTCTCTCCATAACACCCTCCCCACATTCCTCTACCACCTGTGGCGTGCAGTGGAGCATCGGACGCTCTCTTTGGAGCATCAGTAGTGTTTGCCACCATAGTCATGTACGACGCCCAGGTATGGCCATCCGTGCCGGGAGGCGGGCGCTGCGAGAAAGAAACAAATGGGAAAGCGAACAAAGAAGAGAGTGACAAGAAATCTGCAACAGTAGTGTTTGCCACCATAGTCATGTACGACGCGCAGGCATGGCTCTCTGTGTAAGAGGCACCTCAAGAAAGAAAGGAACAATGAAAAGCAATAAAAAAAAGAGAGAATGAAGGATTGCAGCAGCGGTGCTTGCTTCTGTAGTTATGTACGATGCCCAGGCATGGTCATCCCCTCTGCCCTCTTTTGTCCTCGTATGTCCTGCCTTCCTCCTGCCTCTCATATCGCCCCTCCCTTGGCCGTGAATTCTGAGCCATTGTTTCACACTCTGCAATGCACTACGTAACCTGTGCACTGCACTTGCTCCTCTGTTGACTGTAACATGGTGCTGCAGGGGGTGCGGGGAGCAGTGGGGAAGCAAGCCCAGGTGATCAACTCCTTGGTCGTGCCACAGTTGGTCCGCCCTCCCCCTCTCTCGTCCATTCGCAACAGCGCTGCATCCCTCTCCAAAGGCACAGCGGATGACAACTATCGCCCCAGCGACACCAGCAGCATCAGCAGCAGCAGTGGCGGCAGCGGTGGCGGCGGCAGCAACAGCACCAGCGGCAGCATTGGCAGTAGCAGCAGCAGTAGCTGCGACAGCAACAGTCAAACCGAGGAGCAGCAGGGGTGGAAGAAACTGTTCCCATGGCTGAAGCAAAACAGGGGGCCTGGGCCGGAAGTGAGTCCTGTAATGGACGATCGCAGCGATAATGACGATGTTAGTGATGCTGAGGGCCGCTTGGCTGTGAGGGCAGCAACACTGGATGGGATAGATTGGGACGACAGCCGCATTTCAGCCTACATCAGCCCTAGCAGTTCAGGGAGTGATAGTGAGAGCAGCAGGTTACCAGCAGCACAGCGGTGGAGGCGGTCTAGGTCGTTCTGGGCGGCGGTGTTTAGGGAGCCGGCAGTGGTGGAGGGGGAGGTGGAGGTGCAGGAGATAGGGCAGCTGGAGGGGTGGCGAAACGTGCCGCTCAAGGAATCGGTGGGGCATACCAAGGCTGAGGTGGTTGGGGGTGCGGTGGCTGGTGTTCTGCTCAGCTTGCTCATTGAATTGTTCAGCTGAACCCAGAAGCAGTTATAATGTTTCTTTGCATGGTCGGTATGGATAGTGAGCTAGGGATTTTGTTTGTTAGGTCTAGTATGGGGTGGGGAAGCTAGAGACTAAATTTGTGAAACCCTTGTACCCTATAGGCTGCTATATTAGGTTGATGCGTGGCTGTGTGTTTGAAGACTAAGCCTCAACTTAACTTCTCAGCTCAGCAAACTGGCGAGGGTTTAGTCTAAATGCTATGGAAAAGGAAGCACGTGATGAGGTAAGGCTTAGTAAAATAAACATAGAAATTACTGGAATGAAATCTCAACGCACAATCGCAACAAGCGCATGCCGAATCCCCTCTCCTCACCCACGACAATTCCGCCGCAAGTGAAGCAGGCGAATCTTTCGCCTGCGCCTCGATATGCTTTTGCACGGCAGGAGTTTCTGCAATCACAGCCGGACTGTCAGGCAGCCATCAAAGCCGCGACTCGGATTCTTGAATCAGGCAGCGGCAGCGGCTGGCAGGAACCGTCCATCCAGGAAATTGGCGGTTCCGTTGAATTGAAACCGATTCCACTACACCGGGCGTGTCTAGTTGTGTTGAGTATGTATAGGTCGGCGGTGACTCGCTTGAAGTTGAAGTTCTGCATGTAAGTGCGAATTGCATAAGTGCATTTAGGGAATGCGCAGGCGACAAGGTAGAAGTGCACCACTGCTGACCCTGAGTACGATCCGTCCGGAAGCTGTCGCATCAATCTGAACTGCGCCTTTAAAACCACGTCTTCAGCTTGGGAGCTAGGAAATTCCATAATCACTCCCAGCCAACTTTTCTCTTTGTCAGTCCCATCCGCGCCTACTCTACGTAGAGTTACACGTAACAGCGCGGCGTGGGGCTCTAGCTACGAGATATCTTTTCCAAATCCATACGCCGTAGAAAGATACATGAAACTTTACATTTTTCCAGCTTCAACCACGAAAGGCACGTAAACCTGGCGCCCTACTTCTCAACTTGACGATTCGTAGAATCAGGAAGATCCAGCACACCAGATAACGACACGGGGAGAAGACGAAGCAGATAATCATAAGACGCACAGCCGTATTATCTGGGCGGAGGCCGCTCAGCTTGAAGAACGCCGAGGACGCTGAGGCAGGCGAAGGAGCGTTATGGCGCACGTCACTCGTGCGGACTTACGGTTTGTTACATCGGCAACAGCATCAGTAGCAAGAGGAGCTGTGGGAAGAACGGTACTGCTGGTGCTGCTGGCGGTGTGCGTGACGATGAGCCCGATAGTTGCGAATGCCGAGCCATACGCAGGTACCCAGTAGTGCTACTAAGAGCTGTTCACATGCTAAGCATGGTTTAGTTGCAAGTCGTCGCATGTCAGCGCATGCTTTTTTTTTAGTCAGCTCAAAAGGCACTTTGATTGCAATACAAGAGGAGATAGGACTGTGCCATCGCATGACATCGCATCGCATCGCACGGCATCGCGTGTATTCAGGTTGACTCGATGGCGATTCCACGTCCTCGCGTGTGCTGAGCTGACCTAAACATCCAGCAAAGCAGCAGCAAGACGAGACACAGGGTCGTCGCTAATTCATCGCCGCGTGTATCCCGCTATCTGCGATCGTGCGTCATGTCCCGTTATGTCCCGTTCAACTGGTCATCGCACTCTTGCCGTCCCCTTCCCTATCTCGCCTTCACCCATTCCCGTCTCCACTGACCCGTTACCGCCAACCCAGTACCTCCGCAATATAGAACACTCGCCTCCTTTATTCCGCCTTCCCCCATTCCCTACTCCGCCGTTCCCCCATTCTCTCCCCCCCCCCCCCGTCCCCCCATCCTCCCCCATTGACCCCAGACACGAGCCCCATAGACTCGGAGACGGACCCAATCCCTTTTTCCCTCATTCACTCAATCGCTCCCTTTCCCCCATTCTCCCCCCCCTCCGTCCCCCCATCTTCCCCCATTCCCTCAGACACGGGCCCGATAGACCCGGAGACGGACCCCGCGGTGCTGGCGCGCATGCTTCCGCTCAACGTGCGCGCGGGCGGGCCGTTCGCGGACTGGATCACGGGCGAGCGCGAGTGGTTCAACGTCAACTATTACTTCGGCAAGGGCGGTGCGTTGCGTTGCGCAGTGCGTCGCGCCGCGCTCTGCTCTGCTCTGCGGCGTGCGTTGCGTCGCGCCGTGCATTCCGTTGCGGCGCGCGTTGCACGCGGGGAAATGGGAGAGGGGATAGGGGGGGGTTGCGCCGTGCGTTGCGGCGTGCGTTGCGGCGAGGGTTGCGGAGAGGGTTGCGGAGAGGGTTGCGGAAAAGTGGGCCCGCGATGGTGTTGATGCAGGCTGTGAGTGACGAGACGGCTACGCGACTTTTGAGTTGACTCTTAAGTCACCTCTGTGAGTGACGAGACGGCGACGTGCGGGTTGAGAAACCTGTCCCATGCGGGGGCGGACATCGCACGGAGCGATTTCTGTTAACAATGCAGCTCTCCCTGCTGGTACCTAGCTGCAGACACGCAGCGCAGCAACGACGTGATCTGGGGGGCCGAGGGGCGCTAGTTCTTCCCCTTCCTTTCCGCCCTGCCTGCCTGGTCGCCCTCTCAGTCCCGCGCATATCCCCCCGCCCTTCCCATGCCGCCCTCTCCCTTCCCTCCGCCTCCCCGCAGGCAACGACCTGCTGGACACGCAGCGCAGCAACGACGTGATCTGGGGCGGCGAGGGCGACGACGGGCTGTACGGCGAGGACGGCAACGACACCATGATGGGCGGCCCGGGGAACGACCTGCTTTGCGGGGGTGCGCGCGCGGGGGGCGGGATGGGGGGAGGCGGAATGCAGAAGGGGGGAGGGGAGGGGGGACGAGGGACGGGGGACGTGGGGGAAATCCGGAGGGGATGGGGGAAGGGGATTGACGGACAAAGGAAAGGAAGGTGGAGTATGGGAGTGGCAGGGTCAGCGGTTGTGGACCGTGGGTGGGTGGCTGTATGTTTGATGTTGAAAGGGCGTGTCCGTTAGGTGGTGGGCTGTACGGCAAGGAGGGTTACAAGACGGTGCTGGCCGACCCGTGTGTCTGATAGACGGTCCATGCGCCATCACATGCTTCTTACACTCTCCCTTCCCTTGCCCAACCACCCTCTCTCCCCTCCCAACCCCCTCTTTTTTATCCCTCCCTCCCTCCCTCCCTCCCTCCCTCCCTCCCTCCCTCCCTCCCTCCCTCCCTCCGTTTACCAACGGAGCAGCCCCAGGGTGGGACATCATATAAGGGGAGGAGGGCAACGACACAGTTCTGGGCGACTGATCCTTCCCTCTCACCCCCACCTCTCCCCTCTCAAATCCCCCTTCGTAACACCCGTTTCTCCCCTCCCTATTCCCAACGGAGCAGCCCCAGGGCGGGACATCATATACGGCGAGGAGGGCGACGACACAGTGCTGGGCGACCCGTGTGGCATAGGGAACATCTGTGAGGGGCCGCAGGTGGTCTACAACGACTGGATCCACGTGAGTGCTGTGCTGTGCGCTGCGCCATGCTGTGTTCTGCTGTGCTGTTTTTGAGGCGCCTCGAAATTTGTGCCGTGCTGTGTTCTGCTGTGCTGTGCGCTGCTGTGCGCACCACTGCTGCTGGAGCCTGGACCGCATTGCATTGCATATGCCAGTCGGTCCCAACCCTCTGTAGTACTGTGGCCTCTGAAGGTGCGGAAGGAACATCGGCAACATCTGTGAGGGGCCGCAGGTGGTCCATAACGACTGCTGGTGAGTCTGGATCCACGTGAGTGCACCATTGCTGGTGTTGATGGTGACGGAGCTGCTGACGGCGCTGCTGACGGTACTGCTGCTTCCTCTCTCCAACCACATCCTGCGCGTCTTCCTCGTCCTCTTGCCTCAGAAGCACATATTTCGAAACCACCCCCGTCCCCTCCCCGCCCCGCCCACCCCTCTCCGTGGTGTGCCCCTTGCCTTGTGGTTCGTTTTGAGACGTCTCAAAACCAATCTTCATACACGTGGCTACCCCTTGCCTTGTGGTTCGTGGCACGGCGGGCCGGGCAGGGACGTGCTGAACGGGCAGAAGGGCGACGACGAGAGCTGGAGTGTACCACCCCCTTCCCCTCCCCGCCCCACCCCACCCCTCTCCGTGTGGCCCTTGCCTTGTTGTATACCTGGCAGGGCGGGCCGGGCAAGGACGTGCTGAACGGGCAAAAGGGCGACGACGAGATCTATGGTGGCACGGGCAATGACAGGTGGGCTGCTGGGCGCTAAGGGGGGCGGACGGGGAGAGGGGAGGGTAGATGGGGAGGGAGGGCAGGTGAGGAGGGGAGGGCAGATGGGGAGGGGAGGGCAGGTGGGGAGGGGAGGGCAGATGGGGAGGGGAGGGCAGATGGGGAGGGGAGGTCAGGGGGACGGGAGGGCAGGGGTGGGGGAAGGGCAGGTGGGGAGGGGAGGGCAGGTGAGACGGGAGGGCAGGTGAGACGGGAGGGCAGGTGAGACGGGAGGGCAGGTGAGACGGGAGGGCAGGTTGTTCGGTGGGGAAGATGACGACTATCTGAACGGCGAGGAGGGCAATGATGCTCTATTTGGGGAGGCTGGTGACGACTACCTGGTGGGGGGGCCAGGCCGGGCAATGACACTCCTCAACAACCTCACCACTCATTACCACTCACCACCATTCGCCACCACACTCCACCACTCCCCACCGCTCTCCACTGCTGCAGGTTGTTCGGCGGAGAAGACAATGACTATCTGAACGGCGAGGAGGGCAACGATGCGCTGTTTGGGGAGGCTGGTGACGACTACCTGGTGGGGGGTCCGGGCAATGACACGCTCTATGGCGCCGCTGGCACTGATACGCTTACGGCGGCCCTGGATATGGTAATAACGAGTACGATGTGATGTGGTAGGATAAGATGGGATGGAATGGGATGGGATAGGATGGGATGGGATGGGATGTGATGTAATGTGATATGTATGTGATATATGACGTGTGTATATATGCTCACGCCCAAGGGTCCCTCTTCCTTTCCTTTCCTCCCAGGCACCTCTTTTCTCAACCCAATGCTCCTCTTTCTTGAATGGTCCTTCTTATTAGTTTCAATGGTGTGCAGCAAGGTATAGGCAGACACAGTCTCCTTCCGCACTGGCGGGCCTCCTCCTTTCTTCTCTCAAATCTCATTCTTCCAAGCACCTCCTCCTTCCTTGTCCCCCTTCTTGCTGGTGCTGGTTTCTGCAGACATCTTGAGGGGTGGCGGCGGCACCAACATATTCGTTGTGGACGCCCAGCCATGTGGTTCCTTCGACCAGATCCGATACTTTGAGTCAGTGCACCGCACCTACTTCCTCTCCTCCCAACCACTCCCCATTCTTTCAACCATTACCCTCCTCCTCCTAACCAGCCCTCCTTACACTCCCCTTCCCTCGCTCCCACCTCCTTTGACACAGTTTCATCTTTCTTTCTCGACTGGTATTCACTGCTCCTTCCTACTTATACCACGTGATCCCCCCACTCACTCTCCTCCTCGCAGGCCCAAGAATGGCGATCAGGTTATTGTGGTGGCAGGAGGAGGAGCAGCAGGCAGGGAGCTGCTCAAGAAAGGCAGAGCGGTGAGGCTGGGTGCTGTGGTGTGTGCTGTGGTGGGTGCTGTGGTGTGTGCTGTGGTGTGTGCTGTGGTGTGTGCTGTGGTGGGTGCTGTGGTGTGTGCTGTGGTGTGTGCTGTGGTGTGTGCTGTGGTGTGTGCTGTGCTTGTAGTGCGTGCTTTTTACTGTGCTCTAAACATTCAATAAATTCCCACCCAAGAAGAGAGTGTGAGGGCATAGATGCATGTGCGAGTGTGAGGGGCATCTACATGGTCGGAGCCTGGAACTGCATGCTTTCATGCATGCATGCAGCGAGCCCGCTGGTGGTCACCTTTTGAGAAATCTCAAAAGCGACGCCCGCTGGTGGTCATCCCACCTTCTCCGCCCTCCTTCTCACCCTTGTGCTTCCCCTCCCGCCCCCTCGCCCTCCTCCCTCCCTGCTGCAGGCAGTGACAGTGCAGACAGTGAAGCACGTGACAGGCATCTACGTGCAGGGGTGTGCAAAGCCCATAGCGGTGTTCACAGGGGTGGACAGTCCGCCTGCGCCCATCGCCAAGGCGCTCAAGCTACAGGCCAACCCCCCGCCGCCGCCCTCCTGGGTTGTGGTGAGTTGAGTTGACTCAAAGACGGGCATGTACGTGCAGGGGTGTGCGAAACCTATAGCGGTGTTCACAGGGGTCGACATTCCGCCTGCGCCCATCGCCAAGGCGCTCAAGCTACAGGCCAACCCCCCGCCGCCGCCCTCCTGGGTTGTGGTGAGTTGAGTTGACTCAAAGACGGGCATGTACGTGCAGGGGTGTGCGAAACCTATAGCAGTGTTCACAGGGGTCGACATTCCCCTGCTCCCATCGCCAATGCGCTCAAGCTGCAAGCTGACCCCCCTCCGCCGCCCTCCTGGGTTGTGGTAAGTGTTGAGAGTCGATTCAAGACAGGCATCTACGTGCAGGGGTGTGCCAAGCCAGGCCCATAGCGGTGCTGCGGTGTTCACAGGGGTGGACATTCCCCCCGCACCCATCGCCAAGGCGACCTGTAGCTCTCAAGCTCCAGGCCGACCCCCCTCCGCCCCCCTCCCGGGTCGTGGTGAGCTGCTGTTTCCTCTTCCCATCCTTCATCCCCTTCCTCCCCTTTCCTCTCCTTCCTCTGTTTCCTATGCGTCATCTCCCTCATCGTCTACTTCACCATGCCCCCATATCGTTTTACTTTCTCACTCTTTACTCGTCCGTATCCTACTCTCCCCACTCTACCTCAGACCACCATCTCACTCTCACGCTCCACCCTCCCACTCTCGCACTCCTCCTTTACCCCACCCCACCAATTCCTGCTCCCCCACCCCTCCGCGCACTCCCCCCACCTTCTCCGCCCCGCTCATTTCTCCATCCCCCACCCCTCCCCATCCCCCACTCCGCCCATCCCCCACCCCTCCCCATCCCCCACTCCGCCCATCCCCCACCCCTCCGCTTCCCCCGATCCGCCCGTCCATCCCCCAGGGCTACATCCCGCCGCCCATCCCGGGCAAGAACGGAGTGCCGCCCATCCCCCCGGACAACGTGCTGCAGGGCAGTCCGTTTGGGGACAACCTGTACGGGCTCAACCACTCCAAGGAGGTCCGTCGTGCAACCAGTCAGTCGTGCAGCCAGTCAGTCGTGCAGCCAGTCAGTCGTGCAGCCAGTCAGTCGTGCAGCCAGTCAGTCGTGCAGCCAGTCAGTCGTGCAACCAGGCACGCAGCGAGGCACATGTGCATTAGCGTTCATACAGGCCTCTCTAACCATGTCTTATTGCGCGTGGTCGTTCGAAGACAACCTGTACGGGCTCAACCACTCCAAGGAGGTCTGTCTTGCGGGCAGGCACGCAGTTAGGTGCATAGTCAGGCACATGTGCATGGCTATATGTTGTGAGACTTGTCTAACCGTATCTTCTTTCACGATTTTTGAGGCGCCTCAAAAAATTTTAGACGATTTTTTTGGCGATTTTTTAGGTGCCTAAAAAAATCTTTCTCTTGGTCCTTTCTATGACAACCTGTACGGCTTGAACCACTCCAGGAGGTCAGCTGCGCGAGCGCAAAGTCTGGCGCGCAGGCAGGCATGCACACTGTCCGGGGCGCAGGCAGGCACCAATCCGCCCTCCCCCCTTCCCCCTCTCCCCTCCCCCTCCCGGTTCAGATTGGCAACTTCATGTTTGGGCTGTCCCTGAATGACAAGCTGGTGGGGGGCCCAGGGCCGGATGTGATACTGGGGGGCAACCACAACGACACCATCATTGGGGGCGCGGGGGACGACCGACTGGTGAGGACAACCGGCTGGTGAGAGAAGAGGGGAGTAAAGGGGGGGAAGAGGGGATGGGGCTTTTGAGGATTGTCAAAAGTGAGAGCGAGAGAAGCTGGTGGGGGGCCCGGGGCCGGATGTGATACTGGGCGGCAACCACAACGACACCATCATTGGGGGCGCGGGGGACGACCGACTGGTGCGTGCAGAGAGGAGGGGAGTAGGGGGGGGAGGAGAGGGGATGGGGCTTTTGAGAATCCTCATAAGTGAGAGCGATACAAGCTGGTGGGGGAAGACACATCGGCACCATCATTGGGGGCGTGGGGGACGACCGCGTGGAGGGACAAGGAAGGGGGGATTGGGTTGGGGAGGGGGAGATGAGTTTTGAGACGTCCCAATGCCTCTCCTTCCCATCCTCTCACCCTCTCATTCCCCCATCTTCCCATCTTCCCGCCCCACCATCCCCCCCCCGTCTCTGCACCTGCTGCAGTCGGGCGGGTCAGGATACGATTTGATTCTGGGCGGCGCGGGCCGGGACGCTCTGTTTGGCGGGCACAACGTGGACATTCTTTACGGAGGAGGATGGGGCAATTGGATCACTGGAGGGGACTCCTCAGGTGAGTTGCAAGATTGCGAGGTGCCCTGTAACCTGCTGTTGCAGTCCATGGCCTCGCATCTGCTCTTCACCTGCTGCACAAAAACCATGCCCTCTCCCCCTGCGCCCTCTCCCCCTGCGCCCTCTCCCCCTGCGCCCTCTCCCCCTGCTCCCTCTCTCTCTCTGCCTGAATCCTGTTGTCTTCCTGCGACCTCTGTCACCGTGCACGGCAGATAAGATCTACGTGGATGCGCCCAGCAGCTGCCAGGCCACGGAGCCCGCCCCTGATGTCATCAACGACTATGACACGGACAAGGTGGGTAGATGCATGGATGGATGGACGCATGTATGCACTCACGACTTTTGAGGCGCCTCGAAAGTGAGACAATCTTTCTAACAAGTGAATGCATACACGCACGGGACACATGTGTGCTGTCCGTGGCCGATGGCTGTCGTGACATGCCGTGGTGATGTGACCTGATGTGCGTTGCAATGTCCCCATGCATGGTGATGTGACCTGATGTGCGTTGCAATGTCCCCATGCATGGTGATGTGACCTGATGTGCGTTGCAATGTCCCCATGCATGGTGATGTGACCTGATGTGCGTTGCAATGTCCCCATGCATGGTGATGTGACCTGATGTGCGTTGCAATGTCCCCATGCATGGTGATGTGACCTGATGTGCGTTGCAATGTCCCCATGCATGGTGATGTGACCTGATGTGCGTTGCAATGTCCCCATGCATGGTGATGTGACCTGATGTGCGTTGCAATGTCCCCATGCATGGTGATGTGACCTGATGTGCGTTGCAATGTCCCCATGCATGGTGATGTGACCTGATGTGCGTTGCAATGTCCCCATGCATGGTGATGTGACCTGATGTGCGTTGCAATGTCCCCATGCATGGTGATGTGACCTGATGTGCGTTGCAATGTCCCCATGCATGGTGATGTGACCTGATGTGCGTTGCAATGTCCCCATGCATGGTGATGTGACCTGATGTGCGTTGCAATGTCCCCATGCATGGTGATGTGACATCTCGAAATCGTGCACCCACGTCTTCGCTCCCCCTTGCCCCCTCCCTTTTCCCCTTCCCACCCCCCCCCCCCCTTGCAACCGCCACAGATATTCATCGTGGGCACACTCACATCCCTCTCGCAACTCGCCATCGCCACCATTGCCTCTGGCACCACCGTCGCTCTCAAGGTACCTCCCCTCCCCACGTGATAAAAGTAGTGATTTGAGACGTCTCAAAACACATCCCTCTCGCAACTCGCCATCGCCACCATTGCCTCTGGCACCACCGTCGCTCTCACGGTACCATCCCAACCTACCCAATCACATGTTTTTTTTAATTTCTGCGGGGAAGGGCACACTCTATTCTGTTTCTGGTGTCTCTATTTCTTGAATGGTTTTTTTTTTATGAATGTGCATCATGGGCATGGCATGGCATGGCATGGGCGTGGGCATGCTCATGACCCCACCTGCCTTCCTGGGTTCTTTTTCTGGTAAAACAATCAGCCCATCTTGAGGGTCTTCTTCCCTGCTCTCCTTCTCTCCATCCATGCCTCCCTCCCTCCCTCCCCACGTGCAGGGGTGTGGTACGCCATTTATCTTTGTGAGAGGGGTCTCCAACCTACCCACTGCCAACATCTTCTTCACTACCCCGGTACCGTTACCTCCCTCACCTACCCTCGGTACAGTTGCACATAGTTGCTGCGGTGTTGTTTTAGTGTTGAGAGTTTGTTGCATATCATACATCATACACATCATGCATTGTGGCACGTGTCGTTGAGGCGCGGAACAGAACAAGTGTGTGCACCAGATGTCGCTATATCGCATCGTTTCACGTCGTATCATGTCACATTGCATCACATTCCCTCGTCAAACCATTCCATACCTTTCAGCCGTACAAGCCATGAGCCATATGGCATATGGGTACCGTAGTTGCTGATACACCCACACACATCCGATTTGAGCAGATTATGCCGCTAAGGGTGCGTCAGATCTGTTGTCGGGAAAATCCGGCCGGCCGGAATCAGCGAAAGTAACAAGTTTGCGACATTCGCGCAAATTGTCGTCGAGTTCGCCAAATCCGGCCATTTGTAAAAAAATTGATGGCCGGTTCAGCATTCGACAAAGTTCCGACGTGCAGTCGACTCGAAAGTCGACCAATTTGTTGACCTGAGATCGCTACAGTCACTAAGCGACGTCGCCAGCTCGTGCGACGCAACGTGTTACACAAGTACTGCATCTGCGACTCCGTCGCACAATCCGGCCACCCTGGCGAACTGAAAATCTGACACATTTGCAAAGCGGCCTGCAAATCGGCCACCAAATGTGTCAGATTTTTCGGCCCTGTAAATGTGGCTGGATATTGGTCGCTTTTGAAGTCGACCATGTTGTCGACTTTGGCGAAAGATAAAGGTCGACCAAATTGTCGATCAAATTCCAGCCCTAAGTTACACACACGGAGTCTATTTCTCTCCTTTCTTTCTAAAATCGTCTTCAACATACAGAGCTTTGTGTGCCCCAACAAATCCATGTCTTACTGCAGGATGGCATACCTAAAAAACCCTAAAGGGCATGTGCCAGCCAGGTGCCCAGTCTGCATGAAGACAGGATCTCCATTTTGGCCACTTGAATTTTCCAAGGTGCCACTGCTGTGGATTAATGTCTGGCTGACAGAAATGTTATATGTGCATGTAATTATCAAATGTTGTATATTATTGATTAAGAATTGCATGTTTCGTATCATAATGAAGAATAGCAACAATCCCTTGTTTGATATTTGTGGATTCAATAGGCACCTACCATGCCCTTTAACAAGGGTATGATTTCTGTTACTGTGCAGAAGTATTGCTTCAAATTCTGATACATTTCCAGTATAGTATTGCTTCAAAGTCTGATACATTTAATGTTATCAACCTAGAAAAGAATGTGAATCCACAACTACTGCTATGATCATAGACAGCTAGCTACAAACGAATCAGGAATCTCTTCATTGAGCGAATCTTTTGAGCATTCTCTGTTCAATCCATGCTCTCTCGCAATCCTGTTCCTATCCCATCGTGCACCGCACCGAGATCCACCCATAAAACCCTCCTTTTGCACACCAGCCGCCTGCTTTTCCCTCCAGTTTTCCAGCAGGCGCGCTTTTGCCGGCGAGCAGTTCCTGATCCCACCGCCTGTCGCGGTGCGGTGCAGTTGCCCGCCTTTCGCTGTGCGGTTGCCCGTCTGTCGCGCCGTTTTTCTTCGTCGCGCGCAGCACTTCGTTCCCATTGGCAGTCGATAAGGTTCTCTGTCTCCCCCTCTCCCCCCTCTCCCCCTCGCTGCCTTCCCCCCTCTCCCTCTCTCCCCTACTCCCGCTCTCCCCCTCTCTCCTGCTCTATCTCCCCCTCTCCCGCCTCTCGTGAACCTGAATCGGCGCTCGTGCATGCACCTGTTTCCCGTTGCTCTCATCGCTTTCGCTGCCCAGATCATTCGCTACGCTGCCTCTCGCGCCCCTCGCGCCCCTCGCGCCCCTCGCGCCCCTCGCGCCCCAGGCGCACTATATTCCACTTCAACCGCTGCTGCTTCCGCTGCGCCTTCTAAATCGTCTGCCTCTGCCCTCACCGTCCGCTGCTTCTTCTGCTGTCCTCCTCTTCTCTCTGTACGAACCCGTTCCGTCCCTCCCTTTCCGTCCCTCCCTTTCCGTCCCTCCCTTTCCGCCCCTCCCTTTCCGTCCCTCCCTTTCCGCCCCCCTCTTTCCGCTCCTCCCATTCCGCCCCTCCCTTTCCGCTCTTCGACCGCGTCGTCTCTCCCGCACAATCCGATCTTCACTTCCAGATCAGATCGCCGTTTCTGCGCGCATCTTCGCGCGATCCACGTGTCAACGCCGCAATGGCCAGCAAATCTGCGGCGCCGCCGCCCGCCAGCACAAGCGGGAGCGCCAGCGCCGGTTCCGGCGGGAGCGGGAGCGGCGGCAGCGAGATGGCGACGATCGATGCGGTGGCGGCGGGAGCGGGCAGCTGCATCGGCCTGGCCGTCGGCTCCGCGATTAGCGGCGGCGCCATCGGCGGACTGTTCGGGCTGGGTGAGTGCAGGACGCTGGACTCGCGATGCCCCACGCAACGCGCGCAAGGAGCGGGAAGGGAAAAGGGGAGTAGTTGTTGGGCGCGTGGGGGAAGAAGCGGGAGGGTGTTGGGAGGGGGAAGGGCGTTCAGGGATAGGCCGGGTGGGGGAAGGGCGAGGCCGGAGGGGAGCGGAGGGGGGGATCGGAGGGGGGAAGCGGAGGGGGGGATCGGAGGGGGGGAGCGGAGGAAGGGAGCGGAAGGGGGGATCGGAAGGGGGGATCGGAGGGGGGGAGCGGAGGGGGGGATCGGAGGGGGGGAGCGGAGGGGGGGATCGGAGGGGGGGAGTGGGTCAGCAAGGTTGGGCTCTCGAAGGGCTGGGGTTGGAATCAATATTGTAAGAGAGCATGCTGAAATCACTAAATTGTTGGGCATTGGAAGAGAGCACTGGAATGATGTTTGCGCACTCTCCATCCCCCCTTTATCCCGCCTTCCCCCCGCCCTCCCCCGCCCTCTCCTCCCCTGCTCTTCTCACCTCGACTACCCCCACGTTTCTGACGTGTCCTGACGTCCATTTTCGCTCGCTCTCCTTGTCGCACCGCGCCCTCGTGATCATCGTTCTTGCGCGTACTTTGCTCCCACCCCCCTTCCTTTCCCTCGTCCCATCCCCCCTTTCCCCCACCCCATCCCCCCCGCCTCTTCTCCCGTCCCCTTTTGGCAAAAGCATTCGTGCTCTCACTGTCCGTTTCGAGGCGTCTCAAAGCTCGCACCACACGCATGCCCTAAGCTATGTACACACACTCACATGCTCACCCATTCATACCCCAACCCGCACTCACACGCGCGTCTCTCTCTTCTGCCCCTCCCTTCTCTTCCGTCCCCTCTCTCTTTCCTTCTTCCCTCTTCCCCCCCCACCCCCCCCCTCTCCTCCCCCTGCCTCCCCCCCCCCCCGCCCCCGCCTTTCCCCCGTCTCCTCCCAACCACCGCCAGTGTCGGGTCTCTTCCGCCGCGAGGGCTTTAAGAAGGCCATGTCCGAGGCTGGGGCTTCCGGCCGGGTAAGGCGCGGGGCTAGGCGGGGCAGGGCCGGGAGGGGTGCGATGGGCGGGTAGTTGGCATGGGAGGGATACGTTGGGGGTAGCGTGGATTGGTTTGGGTGGTGTGTGTGTGTGTGTGGGGTGGATTTGTTGTTTCTATGGAAGATCTGGTGATGGGATGGCCTGGGAACAAATTTCGAGAGAGAAAGTGCCCCTCGTGATGGGGTGCTTGCTGCTCTGGTCATTTCCCCTTCCCTTTCCCTTCCCTTCCCCTTCCCCTTTGCCTTCCCCTTTCCCTTCCCATCCCCCGTCCCCTTCCCCTGGTCCGCCCGCCCTCGTCCGTCCGTTTGTCCGTTGCCAACCGTTGCTTTTCCTGCGTCTTTTCAGCTCTTCTGGTTCACTCTTTTGTTCCAGCATGCTCGTTTGCCCGCTCTGTCAACCACCCCCTCCCCCCCCCTCCCCCTTCTCCCCCCTCCCTTCCTTTTTTACATGCAATGCAACAACGCATGTATCCATCCATCCATCACCAGACCTTTGCCATCATGTCCGGCGTGCACTCGCTCGTGAGCGCGTCACTCAAGAAGATCCGCGACAAGGACGACGGTGCGTGCATGGAATGGAATGGAACTCGTGCACGGAACTGCCCGCCTGCACTCCTACATGCATGCATGCATGCCTACATGGCCTTCCCGGATGCCGGCCTGCATGGCCCTGTTGATGGCCGCGTGCATGGCGGCCGGCCTGCATGCCGCCTTCTTCTCTCTTGGCACCGTGCACTCTGTCATCCCCACCTGCTTTTTGCTCCCTCCCTCGCTCCCTCCCTCCCTCCCTCCCTCCCTCCCTCCCTCCCTCCCTCCCTCCCTCCCTCCCTCCCTCCCTCCCTCCCTCCCCTCCCTCCCTCCTTCCCTCCCATAACTACTTCTGGCCACACCATTACCTTCAACGCTCCAGTATACACACACGCACACACGCTATGCCCCACACACATTGTTCCTTCCCTCTCATGGCCTTCCCGCGCACACTAGACCCACCGTCTCCCCTCTCTCTCACTCTCTCGTCCCCTCTACCCCCACTCCCTCACGCCCCCGCCCCCCCACACCCCCTCCCCTCCCCCCCAATCGTGTCTCCCCACAGTGATCAACCATGCAGTGGCGGGTTGCGCCACCGGAATCGCCCTCGGCTGGGGAGGTGAGCGATTTTTCAGACGTGCTAATGGGGTTAGGGTGGTGGGTTGATGGGATGGGAGAGTGCGCCCACAGTGATCAACCATGCAGTAGCGGGTTGTGCCACTGGATTCGCCCTCGGTTGGGGAGGCAAGACATTTTCCTTTCCAGACGTGCTAATGGGGTTGTTGGGGCGGTGGGCTGATGGGAGACTGGCGGATGGGGATTGAGAGGGCCGTGGAGTGGGTGCTTGCGGGGGGGTGGTGTATGAGAGGTGAGCCACCATTACGATGGGAATCCATGGTCATGCCTCATGCCTCATGCCTCATGAGTTGAGACGGGGTACTGTTTTTTGAAGTTAGGCTGATGTGCACAGTGCACAATGCACATTCTCTGCTGAACCCCATCTCATCCCATCCCATCCCATCCCATCCCATCCCATCCCATCCCATCCCATCCCATCCCATCCCATCCCATCCCATCCCATCCCATAACACCACGCCAGTGAGCATGCTGCAGAACTATGCGGGCTTTGCCATGCTCACCTTCAGATCGCCCCCCCCCCCCCCCACTTCCGTCCCCCTCTCCCCCCCTTCCCTCCCGTCCACCCCGTGCATGTCGTCCCGTCCCCACCAGGCACGCCAGTGAGCATGCTGCAGAACTGTGCGGGCTTTGCCGTGTTCGCTTTCATCTTTGAGGGCATGAACCCGCCACCCCCACTTCTCCCGTTTCCCCCCATCCCCTCCTCCCTCCACCCCCCCTCCGGTTCCCGCCTTCCCTGTGCGTCCCCACCAGGCACGCCAGTGAGCATGCTGCAGAACTGTGCGGGCTTTGCCGTGTTTGCATTCATCTTTGAGGGCATGAACCCACCGCCACAGCCCGCTGTAGCAGCCGAGCTCAACCTCCTCGGCCTCTCCCCTCCACACGCCCACTGCAGCAGCAGCAGCAGCAGCAGCAGCAGCAGCGGCAGCGGCAGCGGCAGCGGCGAGAAGCAGTGTGAATATGATACCTGTGATTTCTGTAGCTTTTCCTCCTGCTCCTACCCCTCCTCCTCGTCCGTTTGCTCTGATTCATTGTCGATTTCTGCTGGCTCTGCTGCTGCTGATGCCTCCCTATGCAGCAGCGTAAGCAGTAGAGTTAGAAGACAGGTGGCAGGCAAGATTGGCCACGCCAACAGCAACAGCAACGGCAGTTGCCCAGTCGTCTACTCGCCGCAGTGCCACCAGCAACACTTACTGACAGTCCTGCCGCTTTCGCTCTCACTCCCACTCGCTGCTCAGATCGCCTCGTCCTCCGCATATCACTTTTGAAGGCTCGCCAAAAACCACCCCAACGCTCAATGGTGCTGTGCTGCGACTCCTGCTCTCCCCACGCTCTTTCTCTCGCTCTCACTTGCTTTCGCACCAATCCACTCTACACCTCACTCCTCCACACTGCTTTCATTGATCGACTCTCAAGGCCTGTCTTCAAGGCTTGGGGAGAAGGCACCAACTGGTGCTGGTAGCTCTGTTCCTAAGCTTCTTTGTGATTTGTTGAGGTCAGCAGCAGCTGGGGATTGAACTGGTAGTGGGTGTTGCCTTTTTGACACTGCTTAGCACAACCACATCCCTGGAGCCCAGGGATTGTCTGAACCTGAAGCAATGATTATCTCATGCTGATAGTGTTGTGTAGAGAAGTTAGGCTGCATTGCTTTATGCAGTAATTTCGCACCACATACAGATGAATTCCACTTACGGTATTGTGATTCCACCATGCCATGGTGTTGTGATTCGTGATTCGTTAACCATGGTGTCATGTCATCATGACTCATGAGGCAGAATACGGTAGAACTGCACTGCCCATGTGATACTGTAAATCTTCGAGGTTTACAGCAAAGCGCCCACGGCACCACCTCCATCACTCAGAAACATGCATTATGTGTACTCCATGCAATACAGAACCAGGTTTTGCCCAGAGAAATTCAGCCAGTCAATCTTCGGGCTGCCCCCAAAATACCGGCACAAGGCTGAAAGATACTCCACTAGATCCGCATGCGTCTCCACTTTCTTCATCTGCCCGCCCACAGCCACCCTCCGGGCAGAAAACCGGCCCGGAAAAACACAGCAGGGGACCACAGCAAACGGAACCTTAGCTCGGGCAGCGGCAAAAACTATATCCCCCGTGACTTCATCAGGATGGAGGCCCACAAAACAAGAAAACTTTGAAGCTGCCCAGGAAGGGTCGGCAGCGGAAAATTCCTTTTGAATGGAGTGGGGTTTCCAGAGGGCGCCCGAGAGGTAGGCTCTTCTGAGGGCCTTCTTGGACTGGTGGGAGGGGGAGGGGGTGATGGTGGGTGATGCTGCTGCTGCTGCTGCTGCTGCTGGTGTATTTGTTGCAGCTGATGCTGCTGGTGCTGGTGTCAGTGCTGGTGGTTCTTCCACCTCTTGTACCGGTGCTGCAAGCAACGTGAATTCTGTTGGTCTTGCTGCTTCCTCACTTGTTGCTGCCGCTTCTCCAGCTGCTGCCTTTTCTGCTGTTGCTTCTCCCGCTGCAACCGCATCAGGCACCCTACAACCTCCATGTCCCCCTCCTTCCTCCCCATCCTCCTCCCCTCCCTCCTCTCCCCTCCTCCCACCTTCTCCCATCAACCCTTCACCCCCGTTCCCCACTTTGCCACCTGACCCATGCCCCACCCTGCCAACGCCCATCAGCTCCCGTACCTGTTTCTTGTTCAGCCGCACTCCCCGCGGGTCAACCACAGTCGCCCGCACCCCATGCCTCTGCTCCAATGCAAACGCCAGCGCCCCTCTCCCCCCTGCCACGTCTAAAACCCCCTTCCCGCCGCCCCCTCCTTTCCCGCCTCCATCCCCCGTCTCCCCGATGCCCCCTCCCTCCCAGCCGCCCCCTTGCTCCCCACCGTCCTCCCCATCCCCGCTTCCCCCCGCCTCCCCGCCTTCCCCCATCAGTCTCCCCCGTCCGAACGTCCCCACGAGCCACGCAGCAAAGAGCTCCGCGCGCACCTGCTTCCCCCGCTTCCCCTCCGAGCTGTGCGGGTCCCGCTCCCCCTGGCTGCAGCAGTGGCGGCGCCGGTGCTGCCTGTGCGCGATCCAGTGCAGGCGCAGCAGGGGGAGCAGCGCGGGAGGTGGGTGCGCGCGCGCGCAGAAGGGGGCGGCGGAGCAGTGCCCCGAGTTCAGGTAGTGCTTGCAGAGAGAGGAGAGAGGCGGGGCGGAGGGGGGGAGTGGAGGGAGGGAGGAGAGTGGAGGAGTGGATGATGTGGAAAGCTGCGGGGAAGTTGGAGAGGAGGAGAGTGTGGGGGAGTCAGGAGGAAGCGGAGGGCTGCTTTGACTTAACAAGCTAACTCGGGTTGAGGGTTTCAGGGTTTGAGGTTTATGCTCTTCGTCTGACCTTTGCTTCTTGCTCCACTCCCCCTTCCCTCCCATGCCCCCAATCTCCGATCCTCCCTTGCCTCCCACTCCTCCTCCTTCCCCTTCCTTCCCTTCTTCCGCTCCCCCTTCTCCGCCCTCCGCTCCTCCCCCACCGTCGTGTACCTCACCCGCCCATTCCGCTTCCCCCTCCCCCTTCCGCGCGCCGTCGCTCCCCCCACCGCCGGGCAGGTTCTCCCAAACGCCCCACCCAGGCGCCACTATGCGCCAGCCCAATGCATCCGCGCCTGCGCACGCGCCTGCGCCAGCCCCAGCGCCTGCGCTTGCCCCTGCGCTAGCATTTCCGCTTCCCCGACCCTCCTCCCCGCTCTCCTCCGCACACTCCCCCTCCGCCCTTCCGCCAGTCGCGGCAACGCCGGCGGCGGCGGAGGTTAGCTTGTCGGAGCCGGCAGCTGGGAATGGGGTTAATGACGCTGCGAAGAAAAGGGGCAGGCGGAAAGTCGCGGGGACTTGCGCGTCCTCGTTATTAGCCGCATTGATAGGAGCCCTAGTGGGCTGCAAATCCACCAGGGGGCCGCGGAGCGACACGAGCCGGCCAACGTGCGCGTGGCGAGCATTTGCGCGCACGTCCTGGCATGTGGGATGCTTCAGCGCAACTTCTAGCGTGCCGCTGACGTCAACTACGGCGGAGCTGACGTCATTCACGCTAGCCTCCAATGAATCCGGCTCGTACCGCTGCTGCTCCTCTTGTTGCTGCTGCTGTTGCTGCTGGCATGATTGCTGCTCCATGTGCTTCATATCGCGTGTGTTCATATCGTGTGCGTTCATATCGCTTACGTTCATCAGATCCCCAACGCTCATGATCTCGACATCCAGGAACACCAATCGACGGCTCAAACGTCGCACTCGCACCACGCGCGCCATCTCCACGCTCCATTCCACCTCCACATAGTGACCCTCGTTACAATCACTCAAGGTGGATTCCCCATCGCAGGCCGCTACAGCCATCGCCTCCGCACCGGCTCCAACCGACTGACGCTCTCCACCGTCCGATCTTACTCGAGGCTCCTCGGACGCGTCAGATCCAACCGTTGCAGGTTGTTCGGTTTGAATTTTCTCGACCTTTTTATCACGAACGCCTCCGCCAGTGTTTGCGGGTTGACTGCTCCCTCCTGACGTAGCGCGTGTTTCTGCGCCAATTTCCGGGTTCAGGGTTCCGGGTTTAGGCGGAAGCAGCAGTCCGCGAGCAGCCAGTTCCGCCTGCGACCTCCGCGGGCACGCGGAAAGGTCCACGCGGGGAACGGAGTGGGAGAGAACGATCCGCGGTATGCCACTCATGGTGGTTATCAGTTGTACTCTTGCAAGACGTTCGGGAAGTTAGTACAGTCAGATGGCCTGCAACCTACGGCTTTCTGAAGCTGTACCACTGTCAAGTCTTGGCCTGGTGGCAGCAGATGGCCTGCAACCTTTTATGCGAGACGAGGATAGCCGTTGCCACATTCTGGATAACGTGAACACAGCAAATGCAGAATGTTATATGGGGTACATTTGAGCGAAACCCGTGCATACAGATTGAGCAGAACCGCGGCAGCACTCTTTTCCATCTCACCGTAACCAACCAAACCACGCTAAACACCATGAGTTCAACAGACCAGATCCCATGCGCGTATCATTCATGCCAAATCTGGGAGTTGCCTCTCTCATTCACAAATCTCCTCTATTCACGCTTCCACTGTTGTCGCCCACGCTTCCACTAGCATTGCGAGCGTGGAATAATCTCTCCGTACTGGCAGCACAGTCGGCGCTACGCATTCCACTACCGTTTCGCCTTCGGCTTTCGCAAAGGCGTACGGAGACCGTCCGTCGCAATGACGTCACTATTGGTCCACTCCAGAGCATTCTTGTTACAACAGCGTGAGTCTTAGTATACAGGCAGCGTCGATTTGAACGTTGACATTCACTCATTTCTTCCTTCATCCGTTCACTCATTCATTCATTCATTCATTCATTCATTCATTCATTCATTCATTTCTCCTTCGCCTTTTGAAGCGCCTCGACCTGTTCTCGCATTTCCCTAGGTTCGTTGTGCTCGCTTCGCCGTGCACGGTCATTGCCGCTGAGCCAATGTCGCTGAACCCGTGTCGTTCCACCAATCCTCTTGAAAGCAGTGTTTTACTCCCTCTCCTTTCCGTTTCTCTCGATGCTTCCCCTGCGCATACCAAGCCTGTCGACGCGCTTTTCAGTTGCGTTCAGTTCGCATTTCCCAGTACTATTACAGCAATGTAAGCTCAGAAACATCGACTTCAGAGCGACCTGACCGGCAGATCTTCTAACTAGCATGACTCGGCCTAGGGCGATCCTGTCTCCCACTCTTTCTCGCCGCACTGCATCAAATTCAACTCCATTCTCCAGCTCCCTTTCTCCTCCCCGGTTTCCCTCCCTTGCACATCCAGATTCGGTCCTTTCCCTTCGCAATCCCTCTCTTTCAAACAAGCATACACTTTCCACCTCCTCCTCCGTCCGCTTCGGTTCGTGTGCAAAGCGACACCACACTGTAACAACACGCTGCACCGCCAGCAGCAGCAGCAGCAGCAGCTCTCCTTCGGACGTGCGCACGTGCCGCAACTGCAAGCAGCCCTTCAGCCCTGCTGACAACCACCCCACGGCCTGCAGGCACCACACGGCACACTACGGGGGTGAGCGCACACGTTCCCTCCCCCCCCCTCCCCCCCTCTCTCTCTCTCTCTCTCTCTCTCTCTCTCTCTCTCTCTCTCTCTCTCTCTCTCTCTCTCTCTCTCGCTCGCTCGCACGCATGCACCCACCCATATTGTCCACTTTCCTCATCACCCACTTCCCTTGGTGGCCCTGCCACTCCGTCCCCCCTCGTCCCCCTCACAGGTGAAACCAAGCGCAAGTTTGAGAGTGTGTACACAGGCGGGACAATGAACACAGTGGGAGGAGGTGAGATCACGGCGTACTGGCACTGCTGTGGTGCCACCGACCCCTTTGATCCAGGCTGTGTGGCCGGGCCACATGAGACATACGATGACTGATGGATGGGCAGGAGGAATGTGCAAGAATGGAAGAAATTTAGAAATACGTTAGCTCAGCTTGTGCAACTATTGTAATTTCCCCGGGTGTAAGCGCTCATAGGAGATTGTTGTCAAGGCCACATCCTCCTTATTTTGAGTTCAAAACATGAGGCTCAAACGAATAGCATGCAATTATCTTCCAAAAACATGAGAAATTGAGAATGTTGGTTCCTGCAGCAGTGCATTTCCACAAGGGGTCAAATTGAACAGATTACGTAGAATGCCTGTAAAGAATTGGCCGGCTCAAACTCACAGAAATGATTCCTAATCCTGTGAGGAGATGCCAGTGCAATGTGAGCAGTCGTAGTGCCGTGCAATGTAGAAGCATGAGTAGGCAGGGATGTCAAAGTTATATTCACTGTAGTTATCTAGCCTATAGTGATTTGCATGTTAGGGGGTACATCAATTCCCTCGACACGCTCTTGTACCCCACCCTTAATTTTAAAGGGATTTTTAAAGGGCCCACCGTTAAAGCTGAAGTATACATTTGTCATCCAGGTTTCGGGTTTAGGGAGTCGCCTCACGGTCTCGCGGGCAAAGTTTCAAATCTCAAAAGTTTTTGAACCCCTTCTGTCAAATGTATACTAAAGCTTTAAGTCTTCGATCTCCTGCCCGAATCGCGCCCCTAGGTGCGTCCCGTTTTTTATCCTGCCCAAAACTCGACCTAGGCGCGTCGATTTTTCCTCCCTAGCCACGCGCGCCCCACTGCCCAGCCCGCGCACCCCGATGCCCAGCGCACGTGCCCCGCTGCCCAGCCCGCGTGATGCCCTGCCCTGCAGCCCGCGCGCTGCCGTGCCTGCACGCTGCGCCTGCTGCTCGTGCGCTGCCCCTGCTGCTCGCGCGCTGCATTTGCTGCCCGCGCGCTGCTCGCCCTGCCCGCGAACTGCTAGCGCGCTGCTGCACCTGAGCTGCTGCTGCCGCACGCGCTACTGCGCTGTGCCCTGCCAACCGCGCTGCCATGCGCTGCTGCTGCTGCTGCTGCTGCGTACGCTGCTGCTGCTCTTCTGCTGCCCTTAGGCCCGCACGCCGCCCTGCCCCTTAGAGCCGCGCTGCCCTGCCCTGCAGCCCGCGAGCCGCGCTGCCCTGCCCTTAGGCCCGTACGCCGCCCTGCCCTTAGGCTCCCACGCCGCCCAGCCCTGCCGAGCCGCGCCGTCCAACCCGAGCCACACCGCCCTGCAGCATTGCCCAGCCCCACCGAGCCACCCTGCTGCTGCTGCTGCTGCTAGACTGCTGCTGCCACCTGTGCTGCTTTTGCTGAGCTACTTCTGCTCCCTGCGCTACTACTGCCCTGCCGAACCGCCCTTGCTGCAGCTGCTGGCGCTTCTGCTGCTACTGCTGCCACTGCTGCTGTTACTGCGCTAGCCCGTGCCCTGCTGCCCACGCACCCTACTGGCCTCCACAGCCACTCCAACAGTTGCTAATGCTGTTACAGCCACAGCGACCACCGCTACTGCTACAGCTGGAGCTACAGCAGTCGCTACTACCGCCCTTGCGCCGCTACTAATGACTGCCACTGCTCGTCATGGCCACTATCACGGTCGTAGCAGCGTCTAGGTGTAGACAAAAGCAGCCACTGCCTCACCCGTACACTCTATCACCGCAGCATCGCGAGTGGGTTATTCAGCGAGGCCGTCCTGGTGGTGGAGGTTATCGTGCTGGAGGTGCTGGACAGCAGCGGCAGCCCGCGCACCCGAACACTCTCTCGCCACAGCAGATTCTTGAATGGGTCGTTCAGCGCGGCCGTCCAGGTGGTGGAGGTTATGGTTTTATGGGTACCAGACAGCGGCGTCAGCAGCATCAGCAGGAGACCTTCTCCCCGCAGCGGCTTCGCGACTGTGCTTCTCAGCGAGGCTGCTGTTGCTCTAGGTGCTAGTGAGTCTGCTGTTGCTCTAGGTGCTAGTGAGTCTGCTGCAGCTCTAGGTGCTAATGCGTCTACTGGGGAGCGTCTAGGTCCTGCCTCAGCTGAGGCCTTGCACACTTTCACATTTGACTGGGGAGCGTCACGTTGCTTCTTTCGTGATTGCACCACAGTTACACCGCTCGCAGCACCTGTCCCAGTCTCACTGGCTGACCCCACTGGGGGCCCAGTAGTAGCGCGAGCCTCCACTGTCCTCCAATGTCCGGAAGTCCCCTCCGCTCTCTTTCAGGCCTCCACCTCCCCTCGTTCTCGACGAACTTGGTGAGCAACGCAGTCCTTCAGGATGTTTGGATTAATACCTTTATCCCTGGAAGGCAGCGTGTGGTGATCTGTACGTGCTCCCGGACCGGACGTCATCTTGCTACGTTCACTCAGCAGCCTGGGCCCAGTCTGTACACCCTGACCACTACGTCTGCACAGGTGGCTGCGTCAGGTCAGGTGGCTGCGTCGAGTCAGGTGTCTGCGTCTGGTCAGTTCGCTGCGTAGTGCTCGTGTCGGGTACTCACCAGACTCTTCTCTGGCACCACCGACTCGATCACCCCTCTCTGCCGCGTCTCTGCAGCATGCACTCTCGTCTCCTTGTCTCTAGCCTTCTGAGGTCCCTGCCCCCCCTCCCGCGCTCGCCTGCCCTGCCGTGCCTTCCCTACGTTGAGGGGCGGCAGCGCGCCGCTCCTCACTCCTCCTCGTTTCCTCCAACCACTACTCTTCTGCAGACTCTCCACATGGACGTGTGGGGCCCGACCCTCGTCAGTGGGACAAACCAGGAGCACTACTTTCTGCTGGTCGGTGACGACTACACGCGCTACACCACAGTCTTCCCCCTTGCGCAGCAAGGCGGCCGTCAATGGTGTTTTGATCCCCTGGATCCGCGCTACTCGTCACTAGCTGCGCGAGCAGTTTCGGCGGGACCTTCCAGTCCTGCGTCTGCACTCTGACAGGGGCGGTGGGTTCTCTTTCGACCTCCTCGCGGAGTTCCGTCGAGACGAGGGCATCGCCCAGTCGTTCACGCTTCCGGCCTCTCCGCAACAAAATGGGATTGCTGAGCGTCGCATTGGCTTGATCATGGAGGTTGCTCGTACCTCCATGATCCATGCGGCTGCTCCTCATTTTTTGTGGCCGTTTGTGGTCAGATACGCCGCGCATCAGCTCAACCTCTGGCCCCGTGTTCCTTTGCCAGAGACCTCGCGCACACTCCATTGGACGGGAAAGGTTGGCGATGCGTCGGCGTTTCGGGTCTGGGGCGCGCTCTCCCTTGTTTGCGATACCACCGCGAGCACGCTCTCTCCTCGCACTCTCCGTTGCGCCTTCTTGGGCTTCCCCACCGACGC